CCCGTTACCGGTCAGTAAAAAAGACAAAAAGGAAAAAAATAAATAAATAAATAAATAAAGTAACTCTGCCAATTTCAGGAGGGTTTCTGCTTCTCTTGCAGGTGGACCACTCCTGATTCCTTCAGTTTTTTGAAAACCAAAAAGGCAAGGAAGTTTGCCCTTCTTTGGTAAAGGCAGTAAAGTAACTCTGCCAATTTCAGGAGGGTTTCTGCTTCTCTTGCAGGTGGACCACTCCTAATTCCTTCAGTTTTTTGAAAACCAAAAAGGCAAGGAAGTTTGCCCTTCTTTGGTAAAGGCAGAGTCAGCTGCATGACTCAGGGCCTCAAAATTTCATTTTTATGGAAGAGCTGGAGACTGAGGTTAACCCAAAGAAAGCTTTCCTTTGAAAATGAAAACTGACTAACATTCTAAAAAAAATACAGTGGGAACAATTATAACATGTGAGTAAAACTTAATGAAGCCTGTTTATATCAATCATCCCTTAACTCTCACAGCCACCTACGAGGAAGGGGATGTCTACAGTTCGCTTGTGTATGATGAGGAAATTGAGGCTCAGAGGGGTTGGCTCATTAAGTGTCAGTTGGGCCCTGAAATCTGGCCTTCCTACTCGACCACAACATGCTGGGAGCTAAGGAGAAAAAGTGGCTGCTGGTTTTTCCATTATAGGAAGCACTCTGACTGTGGGAGGTACGATAATTCACATGTGAAGGGGCTTCCATTCCTTAACCAGTTTTCCATTCTCCTCATCTGTAAAATGGAGACAACACTACTTACTTTGCAGGTTCTTGTAAGGGTTAGTGATAACACACGTGAGTGACTAGCTCTGAGCGGGGCACATGGTCAGAATTCAGACTGGGGTAGCCACAGCAGCTGGTGGTTGGCAGTGTGTCCTGTTCAGGGGCAGGTACCCATTCACAGCCAGCCAAGGTTCCACACACGAGTGAAGAATACCTCCGGATGCAAAGGTCCCACTCTGACTTGGAACAGAGAGGGCCCATTCCCCTCCTGGGCTCGTCAATACCACAGGCTCACTCCCAGGCAGGCTAACTCCCATCTTTCCCTTCATCTTCCTCTAAGCCAAGGACTCAAAGAGGATCCATGAATGGGTCCAGTGCTCAGTGGATCCCTGAAATTAGATTACAATCATGCACAGATGTGTGTATTTTTCTAGGGCGAGGCTCCATCGCTTCCACCAAATTCTCAGAGGTTTTCACCACCCCCACCCCAAATTAAGAACCACTGCTCTAAATTTCCCCTTGTGGGTCACAGACTTTCTCCATATTCTGTCTCCTGTCAGACCATTAACCACTTTGGGACTCACTAGACACAGATGCCAGGTGTACAGGCAATTTTGGGAAGCCTTTGTAAACCTATAATCAGCAGAATGCTCACATTAAAGAGAACAGTTATAATGTTTCACACTAAGAGCTACCTACTACTTCCTGAAGGCCTACTGTGCATCAGGCATTGACCCAGGTGCTTCCCATATGTGATCTCCAGTCCTCACAACAACTCATTAATGCATGAATTCATTCTTTCATCCTATTTTACACACCAGGCACGATACTATGGAATGCAGGTGAGATGGTGGGAAATCAAAGATAGGGTACCTGCCCTGATGGAGATTACATTTAAATGGGAGAAAAGGATATTAAAGATCATCCAAGAAAATATAAAATTACAATTGTGCTAAATATTACAAAGAAGGGATACAAGGTGCTATGAGAGCCTGTAACAGGAGGAATAAGCCTTTCTACAGAGGTCAGGGAAGGTTTCTTTGAGGAAATAACAATTAAGTTTAAATTTCAAGAAAGAGTGAGCACTTCACAGGGCAAAGGGGAGGTGTGCACTGGGGGCAGGGGTGGAGGGAGGGAAGAGGGAGAAGAGGAGAAAGGAGGGAGAAGGGTTTTCCAGGCAAATGGCGTGTGCAGATGCCCTGTGGCAGGGAACACAGAATGACTTGGGGCTGGCTCTGCACAGGAGCCAGGCCATATAGAGTCTTGTATGCCATATGAAAAAACTCAGTTCTTATTCTTAGATTAGAGCACATGGAAGAAGACATTCAGATGTTTCATTTGGGGAGTGACATGATCAGATCTGCTTTCACAATGATTGCTTCAGATGTGGAGGTGGATTGGAGGGAGGCCAGAGGAGATCCATTAGGAAGCTACTGCAGTAAAGCAATCGAAAGATGGTAGCTAAGAGTGGGGCAGAAGAAATGCAAAGGCGGCAAACTGAGAGAAGTTCAGGACATGAAAGCCACAGGAAATCTCCGGTAGTGAGGGGCAGAGGTGTCCAGGAGGATGCATAGACTTCTGGCTCGCATAACTGGACGGAGGCAGTGGTATTGCCAGACAGTGATGCCTGGAAGACGACCAGCCTTGGGTGAAGATTGAGTTCAATGTGGATATGTTGAATGTGAGGTGCTGAAGAAGACAAGCAGGTGGCTGAAAAAGGGGGTCTGGGGTCCAGAGGGAGGTTCAGACTGGTGGTAAAAATATGGTGTGACTGGTGAGGAAGTGGTCGCTGGAATCATGAGCACAATGAGATAACCCAGAAGGGAAAGCAGACTGAAAAGAGAGACACTTGTTGGGATTCCAACTTTTCTCCTTCTTATGCGTGAGGACACGAGGCTCACAGAGGAACAGTGACTTCACAGAGGTCAAAGTACTGGTAAAAGGAAGAGGGGGAAACAGTAAAACATGAACTCAGAACACAACTGCAGGAGTTCAGATGGAAAAGTATGACTATTTTTGAAAGAAGAGGGTGAAAACCTTTAAGGAAATATGAAAGAGAATGAACTAGGTTAATGCGATAAAAGCAGGAACAACTTCAAGTGATATGTACATTTCACAGTAATCATTTCTTCAGGGTTCTGCTCAAGTCCCACTTGCCCCTGAAGCTTTCTTTGACTGTATCAGTGTACAATGATCTCTCCCTCCTCTTAACATTCTCACATTACGTGCCTCTGCAGTGTCCGGCATTACACCAGATGTTGAGGAGACAGCGTGGGATAAAACACGATTTCTGTGCTAAAGTTGCTCATGGGCTGTCCAGGAGTATGGGACAGGCAGATAAGCAAACCAACAATTACTTTAGAGTTCAGCTGGTACAAGGAGGGAAGCTGCTACCAGACCACAGGAGAGGGATAGGAAATAGTGCAAGGAGTAAGCCAGTGCTACCTGCCTAGTAAATCAGAAAGGGGGGTGAGGCACTAGCCAGGTGACAGATGATAGACATGGAGAAAGGCATGTGGCATTTGGAAGGCATGGGTGGGCCAAACCACAGGATGCATCTTGGGGAATGTCAGGAGATAAGGCTGGAGTGATGAGCAGGAGTCACATTTGAAGAGGCCTTGAATACCAATCCAAGTGGTTTTTAACTTTACCCTGAACTCAACAGGAACCTAGAAGGGTCTCGAGCAGACAAGTGACATGATCAAATTTACTTGTTAGAAAATGCATTTGGGTGGCAGTGTGGTGGATGGATGGGTACATCCAGGACCACAGGTAGGGGGGCTGGCTAGGAGGCCATGAAACTCCTGAGGCTATCAAGCTGCACAGCTTCTGTTGATCCTTTCTAGACTAAGACAGGGTATAGACCAATGATCAAAGTATCATCCACATCATTTCTTTGGCCCTTCTCTTCCATTATCTGAATTTCTAGTTAACTTTCCGCAAGTCAATGTCTCATCTCCCCTAGAAGACCTAGGTTCTTTGGGAATAGGTATAATTGTATCTCACAATTTCTGGCCCACAAGGAGGTGCTCAATGCATGTGCCGAGTAACTCCAGGCTTTCCCAAGATACCACCCTAACCAAGTGATACAGCCCTAACCAAGTGAAGGACAATGTGCCTGAACTTGGCAGGTAGTTAGTCTCAGGGACTGTGCATTGGTGAATCCCCCAGAGCACTTCAGAGGAGACCCCAGAGATTTGTTCAGTCTTTTAAAATATGCTGCTGTCGAGGAAAAAAGGAAGTGGATACATATTGAGCACCTGCTATCTGTTGGGCATTTTATTCACTTTATCACATTTAATCTTCACAAGGCCTTCTAAGGAGGTAGAACTTGTATAATCACCATTTAAAAGATAAAATAAGATGAAGAAAGGTTATGCAGCTTCCCTAAGGTTACCCAGCAACCAAGTGGCAACACTGAGAGTCAAATCCAGATCTCTTATGTGAAAATGGAGTGGTAGAGAGTGCACGGGCTTTGAAATCAGACGATTCAGCTGTGTGACTTTGAGTCTCATTTTCTTCAAATAGAAAATGCAGATACTAATAACACCTATTTCACAGAGTTTATAAAAAGATCAAGTATGGAAAGCCCCTTTTAAATTGTAAAGTGTTCTGCAAGTTGTTATTATTTTGGTAGAGCACTTATTGGGGGAGGAGCACTTATTTGCCACACACAACCTGACCTACAGTTGCTTTCAACACAGGCATTAATCCTGCCTGTTGTCACAACAGAATCTCACACTAGATTGGACTTCAAATTATTAATGGTTGGTCTCATTGATACTAATTTAGCTACAGTTCTGTGAAATCATATGGGAAAAAAAACAATTTTAATAAAAATTCAATCCTCAGTCCTCAATTTAAAAGGGCTTCCTCTCAAAAATAAAATGCTAATGTAGTTGATAAAACATGTGCTTTTAAAAAAGACATCCTAAGTTCAGGCTAAGGAATAACTGGGCCATCATTCAGAGGCCTCTCTCTTCTCAGCTCTGATATGTTGACATGGCTATTGAAATTATTCCATTTGATTTCACAACTTCACAATACTCATTAATCTTTTACTTTTAATTCCCGATCTCCTTACTACATAGCCTATTATATATCTAATCACTTCTAAAAGACACTTACAATACTCTTTCATTCATTCAAAAGAATTTTATTGAGGGGCTCAGATAAGTAAGTGCTAGACACTATGCAGACACAGATCCATAGGACACAGGCCCTGCCCTCTAGGAGCTTACAGTCTAATATGGTACAAAAAGGAATTTGTACAAAATACTGTAAATGAAGATCAGGGAATAAGTGCAGATAGGGATAGATCACACAACGACACCAATGAAAATGCTTCACAGTGGAGGTAGAATTTCAATAAGGAAATAGAGTGTCTTAGGATTTTCACAGGTAGAATATGCTTCAGGAAGATGATACAACATGAGGAAAAGAAAGATATAAAAAAAAATTTCTAGGTTATTTTTTATTGGGGTGGGGTAAGGGGAGTCTGGTGAAAAATAGACACACTTAGCTGGAGCAATGGTTTATGAGGAAAACAGTAGAAGATGAGGCAGGAAAGGTTGCTTGGGGCCAGGAGGCTCTAGGTCCAGACGTAGACCATTAGGCTCTAGGTCAATGAATGATACAGTGAATGTGAGTGGTTTAAGAAAAATTTTTCAGATTGTTTTTCATTTTTTGCTAGCTGGTGTAGGGACTGAACTCTGAAGACCTAGGTGTAATCAGTGCCAGGCTCTGACCATCTGAGCTAACCAGCCAGCTGAGAAAGATTTTTCTATAGTGGTGTTGTGCAAGATGGAAGCAAGAAGATTCTAACTGTCCAGGAG